GTAGACAGGACAGGAAGTACTAAGCTGAAATTACAGTGATGCATATTTAGGTAAGACATTGGAAACATTCTAGTCATGAGGACATTGAAGAATTGGGATAGGCTGCCTAGAGAGATTATGTAGTCACTACCCCTGGAAATCTTCGCGTTTGACAGAGATACGTCAGAAATAACACAGGTTTGTCAACTGGAATGTCAGTATACAGTTGGAGACTTTATTGTCCTAGGACAGTTTGAATGCAACTCTTATTGAGTCATTCATTGTGAAATCAAATGAAATAACCACAAAACACCATATCCAGTAGTAGCTAGCTTGAAACCATCAATACAGCAACGTTCTCTGCAAAGGCTGAGCGTATCCAAAAGTATGCTTATAACGGAGCCATGACAGAGGAGATGAGAGCAGACATACTGATATACTATGCTGTTTAGAGTATATAACATACATAAATGTATATGAGTGTATCTACCAAACAGCCAGCCACAGACAGTGTTTTGAGGCTAAAGGAAGATCAGCAGAAGAGACTTTGCTGCCTGCTTCTCTGACTGGCCATGATTTAGTGCCACAGACTGTGGCTCTTCAAGCCTATCAGAATCTCAGCTCCTGTGTGGCACTTGCCCACCACACAGTTAATCAGGCTCCAGTCTTCTTTTAATCCCATCTCCTCCACAATTCAGACTCACTCAGTCTTTCTGAGCTATAATTAAGAGGTTCCTTTTTTAAGGTATTTAGCAAAACCACTGATTTGCTATTAATTCAGCAACTTGAAGCCAAAGACAATGAACATTTAAAAGAAACACACTGCAAACCACACACTGTATCCATCAATTGTCCTGTTTTTCATATCTTCTATGCAACTAGTGCATGATAACTACTTTGGATGTGTTGGCAACTGCAAGATATCTCAGATGATACCTTTTATCAGAAGTGACCTGAATGCGTTTGGAATGTTCCATTTATAAAATTGCCAGAACACTCTGCAGTATTGATCAGATTATTTGAAATACTATTACAAAATTATGAAAAGGGGGGTTAATACCTCTTCTCAGCAGAACATTAGAAGGTTTTTAAGAGAAATACAGTCTGCAGAGCTTGTTAGCCACCTCTGTAAATACATATGTCAATAGCTTCTGAAATGGTTAATGTCCTTCACTCTACATAACAGTAATATCCCTAGACCACAGCTGCAGCATGAGTTTAACTCAGAACTTCAGGCTGTACCAAAAGCTTATCAACAGAGAAATGTGCTGCAGAGGATTTCAGTAGGCAGCAGTCTTAAAATGCCAGCATGCCTTATCTGCCTTTGAACCAGAATTTTGCACTTGACCCATCAGGTTATCTCACAGAAACAATACCAAAGAAGATTATAGCATCATAGGGGCCAAAATAGTTTGTGTCTACCCGAGGACTACATGGCACTTGGTGTTGGTATTCCCTCAAACAGGGTTTCTTCTGTGCATCTTATGCTTCTTCACATCTACCATACCTGTCCTACATAAAGCTGATGATTGCCTATTTTGTGCCTCCTCCTGTGGTGAACGTGATGTGCAGACAGACTGGATAAACTCTCACAGTGTCTGAAGGGCAAGTAAGAGGAACCCTGGGGACTAGACCTCCCTTTTCAGAGAGGTTGGCCACTGTGCCCACACAAGAGTCACTCAGATTCTTTTGGTCACAGTTGCCTTCATCACCTCCACCCCAGCAGAACAAGTTTCAGCTCTCTGGTCTCATTAAACAAATCAGTGCATAATAACTAGTCCTGTTGCTATTATAACTGGGGGAGGGGGGATCTGGTAAAAGGCAATAGAGGAATTTTCTTTAATTCTAGAAAGTTGTGCATTTGAATATTAACTATAAATAAATGTGCCAAGTGGAAAGTTTGCACGTAAGATTCTTTCTTACTGATTAGCTCCCACTGTGTCTGCCTGAGCATGTAAGAGCTTACACAGTAAATATATAGTACTAGATCTCTTTTGCAAGCAAGTTAAATACTGTTGCTGTCTTCCTTGGTTCAGTTGTTTTGATCTTGGAGAAGACTGAACCTCTACCATCTTCAGGAGGCCAAAATTACAACCTGAGATGCTAGATCTCAAGCAGTCAATTAAATAGCAAACACACATCCTAAAATGATGACTAGCCAGGCTACCTTAAGCTAAATTCATTCAGCTAAATTTCATCTATTCTTCCCTTTCAGGACATGAAAGTACTTGGACAAACAAACACAAAAACTTCTCCAAGAAAGGACAACCACTGAAAACATAATCTCTGTTGCATTCAGAGCAGGACAAGTACTTCAGGACCAATTCCTCCCTCTGTCTCTCCCTCCTCCCTCCAAGAAAATCAAGCAAGCATCATTTTCTTTTTGCAAAAGTAAAAAAAAAAACCCAAACCACTAAACAAACAAATAAACTGAACACAAAAACCAGCTCTGGACACTCTCAAGTGGAACTGGGATGGAAAAAATACAAAGAACAATATTGCTGTGTTCTACCAGCTTAAAAAACTTAGAAACATACCATCATGCAGCATTATTTAGCAAAATATACTATATCACCTAAGAATTATGCGCATTTCTTAGTCCACAAATTGTAAGTAGTGCAGGAACAAGGTCTGGGAATTAATGTCTTTGGTAGATTTATACATGCCCAAAATCAAACTAGCGCTGCAAATATTCAGGTTCTATACAGGTAAAAGATTTTCTTATATACCTCTAACCTTCCAACGTCCCATTCTTATATATGGTCCCATTCTTATATATGGTTGTCATAGCTCCTCCTCCAGACAAGTGAGTCCAAGTCCATCACCTTATCTAAGCAGACATTTGTGGAGGAGCCATGATGCAGTGTTGCCAACACTTCCAAGAACTTCCATTTCCCTTACAGCCCCAAATTCCTGTAGCTTTCTGACTTTCCTTTTTCTTTTCCTTTTTTTTTTTTTCCCCAAGAACTCCCAGTCTGTGTGGATTATCCAGAAAAGTCTAAATGTGACCAGTAAAACACAACATCTCTAAAAGCTAAGTACACTTACCCCAAGGAATATGTAGCTTTAAAACATCATTACCGTTAAACCAACTTCACCTTCTGTTGCAGTACTGGTACCATGAGCTAGAACTGCTTTGAATTATGAGCTCTTGTATGCCTTTTCTGCCTGAGGCTCTAATTCTTCCCTTCAGTCTCAGATGGTACTGTTACAGGATAGACTAGCAACAGCAGCTGAGCAGCACACCATTAGAACAACCTCATCAGTTTTGCTGTGAATCCATTCAGTCTTTGGGAGAAGTGTATTGAATACAAATACACCTGTCTGAAGTGCATGAGAAAAATCATGGAATACCTAGTACTTTATGCCAATACTGAAGTCTTACAGCAACCTAAGAGGCTCCAGCTCCCCTTCATGTGGTGCTCTCTTGTGCAGTACACCAACCATTCATCAGCAATAAAATCTGGAGCATGCCTCAGAAGGAAGGTGAGCTTGTCCAGGTCTTCTATTCAGTCCTGTACTGTTCCTTAAACCTTTATGTGCAGTATTCCTGGCCCACTGGACCGCAGGGCTGGGAATTATTAACGAAAAGTTTAGAAAACTACTTATTGTTGGTGAAGAAAGGTGAGCACAAAGATTATTCTATCCCAAGTCTAGATTTCATAGTAAGCCTTTTTAATGCCAAATACAACCCTCCATCTCTGCATTTCAGAGCAGGCACTTCAAAGGGAGGACTGAGGCTTAAGTCAAAACTATGTGTGGGATGCCCTGGCCATCTGGTTGGGAAAAAAGAGCAAGCCTGCTTAAGTGGAAGCATGGACAAGTAGAAGCATGGACACGTGGAAGGGGAGCAGGCAGCAATCAGCACTCCATCCTGCAGATCACTGCTGATGACCCCGCAGGAGCCAGGCCTCTGGGGCTGTGCCTGCTGCCTTAGCCTAGAAGTAAGCTCCATTCTCCATAGCCCATGAATGGTGCATGTGGCATCACAAGCACAAGGCATGCTGGTGCACCACACGGAGGGAAGCTGGCAACTGTGTGTAGCTGCTCTTGAAGTACCTGGAAATAAGGGGCAAAAATACAGATTAAAACAACAAAATGTGCAGAAATAGGTTTCTCTTCTGGTTGCATGGGGGTGCTTAGCACACACCTATTTCTTTGGCAAGTTTATTACTGCCTCACTGTATTAATAAACCTTTGACAGACAAAGTTTGAGTTCTCCCTTTCCCCACCAATTGGTTTCCAAAATCTAAACTCAATCAGATGGTCCAAGTTTGCTAGGGTTAAAATTACACCCAAGAACAATTCAGAAAGTGTCCTTTCAAGTGTTCCTGGGAAGGAAAGTGGCAAAATCTGAAGATAAACAAAATAATAAAGTTTACTTATTTCTTCCTAGTTGCCTAGTCTGATTTAGATAAAGTTAAGTGATTCAAAAGTGCTTAACAAACAGTGTGAGATAAATCCTGTTAAATCTAAAGCCAAGACTTCCTAGAACAGGTACCTAGCATCAAGATCCTAAAGCATGTAATCAGACATCTAAGCATCCTCGGTTTCTGTGTAACCTGGGAAGCTCCTGGCTCCATGGGACCACAGCGTGCCTGCCTGAGATTGTTAAATGGGGTCACTGATTTAATGCGAATTCAAAGCCCAGTTCTGGGGTTCTTTCGCAGCACTACTAGGGCAGGAGGAAGGGCAGGAGGAGGAACGGCGGGCTGTGGCTCCGTCTGCAACGCGCATCGGCTGGGGCCAGCCCTGCTCCGGAGGGCCCCGCACCGGCTCAGCATCTCCCGTCCCTCCCCGGCCCATTCCCGAGCTGCTCCGAGAAAACTCCTCGGGACATGACCAACTCGATCCCAGGCACGTCCCTGCGCTGCCTGCACGGCTCCCCTGCCGCCGTGGGCAGGGATGCGGTCGCTTCCTTCGCCTGGCGCCCCTGGGGGGAGCCCCCCCGCCGGCCCCGGTCGGGCCTGCCGCCGGAGGGGCTGCGTGCTGCCCCCACCCCCCGGCCCGCCAGCACTCACCATATTACAGATGGAGGCGATGTTTCTGACGGTCATTAGTCTAAAGGTTGCAGCGATCCCGCACCGCCATCTTTATAAGGTGAAAACAGCCCCGCTCATGGTGGGAAAAGCGCAGGAAGGCAGAGGGGGCGGCGGCGCCTTCTGCTCCGGGGCTGGGATAAAAGCAAGAGGAGGGGACAGCACAGGCACCCTTTGCACCCGCAGAGCGCGAGGAGGACGGAGCTTCCCTTCCTCCCTCCTCCGGGCGAGTGACCGGGAGATTCAGCAGAGCGGCGGGAGCAGTCGCATCTCCGCTCCTTCCGCCTCTGGCTCTCGCACGGTCCGCAGGGCCCCGGGCTCCCGCTGGAGCGCTCAACCGCGCCTCTGCGCCAGCCGGTACCGCACTAATCTCTCCCTTCCTCCTCCTCCTCCTCCTCTCCCGGCGGCTGCCGCTCGCCGCTCCATTGCAGCGCCGCGCCCGCTGATCCGCTCTGACAGCGCCGGGCAGGGAAGGTCAGCGGCAGTGCCCGGCACCGGGCACCCCGGCGGGGCGCTGCCGCCGCAGCCAATGCGCTGCGGGGAGGAGGGGACGCGGAGAGGGGGGACGGGCGCTCCGGGGAGCGGGGTGCTTCAGTCACCGGGCAGGGAACAGCCGCAGGGCTGCGAAACTCGTGTTCCGTGCACGTTAAGTCAGGTGGGCAGGGGGCCGGTGAGGGACGGGAAGGCAGAGCCCAAGCAGGGCCACACGGATGTGTGGCAATGCCAGCAGCACTGTAACCTAGGACACTATCTCTCCGCCTAATTTGGGGTACACAGGAACCCAGGCACTATAAACCCCAGAGCAGTAGGCTGGAAATGGCACTTATGCCCACAGAAGGTGTTTTGTATTGCCATTCATGCAGACAACACTTGTCTTCACAAATACTGGCTTGGGACCATGTCCACACCACACACCTTAGTGCCAAAGTGCGTTCATACAACATCGTTAATGTGGTAATCTCAGTTCGTCTTCAAGCACAAAAAAGTCAAGGCCCATGCCTTTCTCCAGGGAAGAGCGGTAAGATTGTATTAAATTTACAGACGTGATAATAGGCACAAGGTTGTTAAATAGCTAACTTGAGCCACACAGCAAATCGCTGAGGGAAGAAAGAATGAAGTTCAGCTAAGGCAATGATTCATCTTTGAATTTCCCATTTCCTTAGCAGATGTTGCTGTTCTCAGCAGAAGCAGAAGGCCCATCTTTTGTTCCTCTGCAATGCTAAGGAAATCATTCAGAGGAAGAGAGAACTGCTAACATTTCTACAGGCACCCCTGCTCCTCACAGCACCTGGGAGCATGGCAGTGCTTGGCTACACTTTTTACTTCACAGTACTAGAATACAATAGTTGCAGCCTATACAGTCTGGCCACAGAGGCTTTATTTACAGCAAACATTCTGAAGCCAGTATTTATTTATTTATTTGTTTGTTTATTTATTTAATAATTTCAAGAGAAGGTCTATGATTACTAATAGAAATCTGACACAGGCAGTAGCATCTAAAGAGAAATTCCTACCCTGAGAATGCTGTTAGGTAAGTGGCCTCATTCCAGCTCATTGCAGACAACTGCCCACTTCATAAAAACCTATCAAATTTGACATTAGTTGGCATCCTTCTATTGACAGTTTCAGCAATGAAACTCAACATGGAGTTGTCACAGAAACAGAATTTCTTTCTTCAGTAAGTTGAATTAGTTATATTAAATCATTGCAGACTTTTGAAATACAGGATGAAGAAAACTTTTTTGGACATTATGAATTGAAGGCATCAGGGATGCTAAACTGCTTCCTAAATGTATAAATCACTATGCAAAAGGGGCATCAGATGTAACACTGATAAATATCTTTGGCATAATTCTAGTAAGTTCATGGTCCTGCATTATGTGTGAATTTGATCCCAAGTGTTTAGTTTGCTTAAATTCTGAGGACTGGATGATACATAACATCATAGGTTTTCTCTATGTACATAGCTGGGGGAAATGGATGTTAAGCCGAGGTGTCATCTCTGGACTGACCAACCCCAGCATCAGTTCTGAAGCGATCAAGGCCAATTGGTCTCTGGTACATTTCTAAGCAGCCTGCAGAGTACTGCACTACAGCTAGGTTTTAAGCTCAGATTCCTTTTATTCCAGAAGCCTAATGGTGTACTCTTTCCTGCAGTTCATTTATTCCAATTCACTGTAGAGAATCATACTTGCTGTCAGTGAAAAGTTATGAAGCAAATGAAAGGGCTTGAAAGGTGATTAAAATATCAAATGAAACAAAGTGTGGTAACTAATAAAGCCATTTACCTCACATATATTTTAATGTCAAGCACATCATTCATATAATATGAACCCCAGAGAAATCATACAAAGTAGTTAAATGAAAAATTGAGGAATAGATAAGTGGTACTTTCATACCTTCGCTTTCTTACTGATACCAAATACTTCACTTCAGGATAAAGCTTCAGGTGGTTTCTGTTTGTTAAACTTCCTTTTTAAAAAAAAAAATAAAATTAAATTGCTATTAGTTAACCATTTATTGTCTGTTCAAGGAAATGACAAATGTTGAAAATAAGCATACTTGGAAATATGCACACATACATAATTCTGTGAAGAATTCAGTATCATTATCCTTAGTGCTAATAAAAATACTTTAAGAGTGGACACATTTCATGACTTATTGCTGAGGATTCATAATAAAAATAAGAAACAATGCACAAGTGTTTATGTGCCAGTTGAATCATAGTTAAGCACTGGCTTTTTTGCTCTTCAGACTTGTATCAAACCAGGAAAGAAGAAACTTTCACATTTGGAATGGGCTAGTGAGTGTTTTGTTTTTCTCTCCATGTTGTCATTTTCAGGCCTAGAAAGTTTGTTTCTGTAGCATTTTGAAGATAAAAAGTGCTAAGAAAAGCAGCAAATGCTAGTTACAAACATTATAGGGACTGTATGAGTAAGAACAGTGAACAATTGTTTCCACTCTAAAACATTGCCCTATCTCTTCATAACAAACAACTAACCCTGTGTTTGAGTGTTAGACAAAGAGTAGGAAAACAAAAGACTATTTATAACCTAACAGTGCTTATATAATTTCTGTTGAAAGGTCAAAAAATGCCTCCTGCATTTAACTTTAGATCAGTCTTGGTTTCATCTGGTTATACACTATAACATTTTTATTTCACTACATAAAATAGGAAGCTATTGTAAATATCCTCTTTGGCTAGCAGAGGCTTGGACTTCCATAACATTTTCCACCTGACCTTCTCAGAGTACTTTGCAAACATTCTCTCAGACTTGTCAGATTGTGGGTGGCAAGTTAATATTAGCTTCTTTTACAAAGCAAGAAAACAGGCAGCAGAGATTTAGCAACTTGTCCAAAGTTACACAGGAAAGTTAGTAGCAAAACTGGGACTCGAATATCTGTCCATGTTGTGCCACAAAGAGGATACTGCACTTCCTCTCCAAAAATCTTGGAAAATTCCACAGAGGGTTCATTTATGTTTTTCTTGTAATAAACTCTGGTTCAGAAATAGGTCATCATCAGTTTTGCTGAACAAGTGTTTGGAACAGAATCAAATTTAAGATACATTTCCAGACAATTAAAGGGACATTTTAATGGAAAAGGCAGTTAAAACAATACTCAGGTTTTCCAGAAGGTGGGAGAATATATAATAAGAATTGAAAAAAAATTCAATATCCAAAATGCTTTTGGTGCCAACAATGGATGTTTAGGATCTTACAAACTTTTTTTGTATCTTGTAGTCACATTAAATTATGTTTTACAAAAATACCAGTATGTCTTTAACAGAATGGCCAATATGCAGACACAAGCATGAAGACTAAGGGTTTTCCATGAAGCTTGGCCCTCAATGCAGAACAGATTGGGAGCTTTAGCAGACTGCCAGATGCCAACTTGCAGTCCACAGGCTGAGGCTGTAGTGCATTGCTCACAGCAGGTCCATGGAAGCCACTCTATTTACACCTGAAATTATAATGGGAAGAGCAAGTTGCAGTCCCTGAAAAATTCATGGCGATCCATAAAAAATGTGGGTAGCTTCCCCACGAATGTGGGGCACCCTTAATCTAAAAAACCAAACCCCAACTTTAGAATCACTATTTTTTTAAGACTGTCAGCTTCAAAGCAACCCCTACCCAACATTTTTACAAATTACCGTAACTATTCTATGATTCTATGAAATTACTTCTCTTGATTTAAAATGCAGTTACATTTTATCTTTAGAACGCTAACAACAGCAAATTCTCAGAAACTGCTATTTTACATGAGAAAACAAAACACATTTACAGCATCTAACTTTGGTGGGGTTTTTTGTTGTTTATTTTTCGGGGGGCAGACATCAGATTTGAAAGCTGAAGGGCTGCAGAATAAAACAGATGCAAGCACATTTATGTCAGGGATTTTAATTTTTTTTTAAAGAATGAATAGGTAGAAGAGGATAATACATAGTAATATAGTTATACAGTGATAAACATGAAAGAGTCTACTCTATGTAAAGGGAGTTGAGGCCTTTAAAGTCAGTTTGGTGCTCCATAATGGTATGTGATTATCTCATAGCATATCATTCCTGGCTTTTTCCTCCTGCTTACTTGTGTTTCAAAAAAGAAGTATTTGGAGTTTTGAACAGTGGCAATAAGAGAACTCCTGTGTATTGCTTCAGCAGTTTACACAGCATTACCCTTCCCTGACACTCACTACTCAACCAAAAATATTCCCAAATTTTTGTAAGGTACAAGCCTGAGGAGTGGCCTCTTTCTCAGGTATTTTATTCATCAAGGGGAGTTCACTAGAAAACTTTACTAACATTTTTCTTATATAAAATGTGCTTTCAGTTGGAAAGACACTATTTAAGTTCTAATCATACACAATGGCTAGAAAGAGGTAACCAAATTTTTTCACCATTTAAGTAATTTATCGAGTAAGAAGAGACTCACTGAGCACAAATAACAGAAAACTTAAGTTTCTAACAGAAATGCACTGGTATTTCTGCCTCTGGAAGGGAAATAACAATTTTGCCTTGCCCACTTCTTCTTCCTTAAGGATTTTATTTATTATTTTTGTTCTATTCCACAGGCTCTAATTTTAACTACCATACACTCTGATGACAAAATAGAGAGACTATTTTGACAGCAGACAGGCTGTAGTGGCATTTAGTCTATTTTCAGCATGAATTTAAAATAGCCTTTTCATTTTATGTAAATTGTGGCATAAATTAATCCAATTACATTTTTATTACGTTATCACATTGCCCTCTCAAAGTTCTAATCAAGTTAAAAAAAAAAAAACCAAACAAAAACCAAACCAAGAACAACAACAGAAAAGGCTGCTACATTGTAAAAAAGGCTGTCACATTGTAAGGTCCCAAACCTGCCAATTATTTAATGCAGACAGATATTGTTGTCCAACTGCAGAGGCTGATGGTCACATCAAGGTTTTACTTGCTTGGTTTTCCTTCATATGAAGTGTGGAGAAAGACAGTGAAATTTAAATGAAACTGTAATGACAGTTGTGCATTGTGGTAAACCCAACATGATGCTTTTAAGTAAATGTCAGCTACAAGAGGTATGAGACCAGTGACTTTGATATTCAGTTCATGCATCCCACAAAGACAGACTTGGTTGATTAGAGCACCATTCCTCAAGGTTTGAACAACTATGTTCAGATCACCACAGACTCCTTAAAAAGCTCAACACTAAATTCACAAAATAACTAAGGCACCCGGCTGCCACACAGCTAGTCTCAAAACGCTTCTCCAAATTCATCTCCATGACTGTCTAAACCAGGAATGCCCTAATGTAAACAGACTCGACAACATCTGCTGGCATGGTTGACCAGGTGACTGAGTTTTCCCTGGGCATGTGTAGAGCCTGCTAACTTTGCATACTGAAAAGAAGCAAAGGCTTCTTCATTATGAGGTGACCAGTGTGGAACAAAGGTACCACCTAAAGTATCTGATTCTTAAGTGTAGTTCTTGTAAAAACTCCCCATACTACCTCTTCCTTTCCATAGTCTCATGTTCACTATTCAAGTTCCCATGGTAACTGAAGTTCCTGTAAATTCTGTTCACAACCAGACCTGCATCTCTCCTGGTTAACATCCAGGATCCATCTCAAAATTAAGCTGTGCTTGGACCCCACAGTAAATGTGAGTTTTCCCACAAGTCCCCAAGATACACAGAGTTCAAGGCAGACTCAGAGCCCAGCTAGAAGTTTGTTCAGGTTAAAATTAGAAGCAGCCCTTTCCCTCCAACAAAACACAGAAGCTGCAGATCTGCCTGCAGTCTTGTAGGCAGTAACTCAATGGTTACAGCACTTGCCCAGGGAACAGAAGAACCCTACCTGCACGTACAGAGGATCAAATTCACATCTGACCCTTGCTAGGACAGTGATTTATTCTACAAGGTAGGTTTGGGAAGGGACAGACAGGTCAGGTGGCCTCTGCATTCCTCCTCTTGAAGTTGTGCCACTATCAGACAAGAAAGTAAGCTTCATGGAGCCAGAGGGAAAGCAAACAACACAAAGTCTGTTTGGGGAAGACAGAAGAAAGCTTGTGCAGGGGAAGAAAAATGAGGATTTTATCTGAATGATTAAAATTCTCATCTAGGATGGATACTGATCACTGGCTTGCTGGGCTAACAGAGGTGCCTGTTTACATTCTGCACTGGAAAAGAAGAAACTGCTTCCCCCAGCACACATAGTAAAAATGTAAAGGTTGGATGCCAATTAGTTTTTTTAGCTACATTACAAGACAGGACTGATCTGAGTTATGTGTCTAAGTGTAGAAAATTATCATTGCAGAGAACCCCACTAGAAATAATGTGAAGTTTGTATCCATTGAGTGACTTACCTAGAGCCTCAGCACAGCTTTTGAACCCTGATGTAGTCACAATAAACTTACTGGAGCAGGGGTTACAATTGCAACAATGTTTTAAGAATCGAGAATTAGACAGAAGACATAACTAGAAGCACTTAAGAAACAATTTCTAGACCTATCACTTGATTCTAACTATGTAACTGTTGCAGGCTGAACCGGATCAGTTTATATCTGCTGAGGGTAAGGTAAACACAGGGTTCAGAAAACCTCAGAGGTAGTGGGCCAACCTGTTACACAACTTGAAGGTGTTACTTTGTTGGTAGCAACTCCGTGTGAGCCAGTACGCATGGACTGCGTCTCATGGATGCAAGAAGCTACGAATTACCAGCATCCACCTCTCTGTGAAGCAGGGACTTCTACTGAATTCAGGACTGCACAGGAATGTAGGTGTTGTGGCTCCTACCAGTTTTGCTGGGCAACAAAGTCTCTGTGCTACAAATCACTAATTCCCAGTCTGTGCTAATCTGCTTGTACTCACCCTAAAACCTCATAGTATTATCTTCAGACAGGCAGGGTATCTTAGCTGAGGTAGCACACTGTTTTGTATTCGTGTTGTGCACTAACTTGCAGATCAACAGGCCTGGTTCCACCTGTGAATGGCAGGCATGCTCCAGAGCAAGCTGCATGTGCTGTAGCACCAGCAAGGGTATTAGCACTGAGGCTTACTTCAGCATCCTTACACACAGATCCTAAACCTCCTAAAGCAGGGCTTTATTAGGAGTTTAGACAGAGATCAGAAGCATTTAGCTCCTCAAAACCGCTACACAGCTGCTACTTCACACCAAAGACGGTTTTGGTTCTCTGTGTTAAAGACCTCCTGGTCCCTGAAGTTCAACCTGGGCAGAGAGCGACAATTATGTCCCAGCGAAGATTAGCACCTTGTCATGACCCAGGCCGCTGGTCTGCTCCTGCCTGACCGTTGCAAGGAGAGCGACTGAGCCACCGGGTCGCTCCTCACTGAAGCATAAGGCCGCCTCCCCACCTCCGACAACAGCGATCCAGGGGAACGAGCCGTCTCCTTACACAACACAGCAACCTCTCCCCGCAGGGGCTGCCCGGAGCACCGGTACCCGGGCCAACTGCCACGGGCTCCGCACACAGCTCCAAGCCCCAAGAACCACCCCCTACCTCCTCTCGAAACATCACGTGCTCCAGCTAAACCAATAGGCAGTGGAGCCTTCGCCAGCCGGTCTCGCGGGAGCGCCGAGACCTAATTTAAGGTCCGGGAGGCGCCAGCTTCCTCCTTTCCCTGTCGCCCGTCGCTGTGGTAAGGCGGCTGCGGGAGCGCCGGGTTCCTGACGGGCGGGGGAAGGGGTGGTCCTTGCTGGCCTCTTCCCTTCACATCTTGCCCTCTCGGAGCCTGGCGGTGCTTCGGGGAGTCAACACAGGGGGATAGAGCACCTTTCCCTCACAAAAACCCAGTGCGGAGCCTTCCCCTCCGCCCTGCATCCTGTCGTGAGGCACAAGCGGTCCCGCTCCCTCTCTTCCCCGGCCTCCCTAGCTCTCAGGGCTGACTTATCTCTCTACTTCCCGCAGTGTGGAGGGACGAAGGCAGCGGGAAGCGTCCCATGGCACCGGCAAGGCTGCCAGATGGCCCCGAAGGCTTTGTCTGTTGGGTGGCCGTGCCCGGCGTGAGCAGCAGACACGGGGTAGTAGGCCTTGCTAGCGGGGAGCGCTGGGGAGTTGGAGTCGTGCCTTTGACCGCCCATAGGTAAGAAGGCACATGGAGCTAACCACATCTCTGAATCTAGGGGCTGATTAGATGCGGTTTGGGATGTCAGACAGGGCTGTGAATCTGAGACTTCCTACCACTTGTAGACAAACTTGCCCGAGAGTGCTGGTCTGCATTACTGTGAGATGACGTATTTGTCTATACTTGTACTTTTTATTTTCTTATAAATTGGGTTTCTTTGTAAGCTGCATCAGGAAAAATAGTCATAACCTGCAGTGTTCAGGATTCTAAATGCTGTAGGCACTTAAGTTCAAATGGACTTGATAACTTTTCAAACAAGGAAAAGTGGTTGCATAGGCCTTTGGCCCAGACTTCCAGCAACAGTAACTTGGTATACCTTTTGGTAGAGCATATCATTTGGTTGAGTGTATCATTTGCTACAAGGTATATGTAAGTACGAAAAATGCAACAATAAATTGCCTGTTAAATCTGTTTTTTAAATTTTTAATTATTGCCTTAAGATTGCCTAAGAATGAGGTAGGCGAAACTTTAAGCATTTGCCATGGATGAAGTCTTAAGTATACTTTTCTCATTCAGTCTGTTAAATCTAGAAATCTACAGCTTGCTTAAGGATGGTGTCAACACTAAAAGCAATTTAGGCTAAAAAAACCCCCATTGTTTATGATTAGTAGTAAGTTTTTAAAGATGTTAAAAGACTTATTAAAACAATCTTCAATAAATTGAACCATTGGCTACTTTTTGCACTAGGCTGAGATTTGAAAATGGACTTTGTAGAGTATGACCTTGAGCAGTTAATTCAACATAATAGCAACTCTGTATAATAGGGGCTTTAAAAAGGTTGTAATAGGACAATATAAAGTATATTATGATTTTAAAGTTTGTCTTTTTTTGTTTGTTTGTTTAGAGGCCCCACTTAGCAATTTCATGTTTGAAATATTTTAAATGTGGATGATGAAACCCCAACTGGAAGCAATGCTCAGGGCTTCTTAGGAACATAGACCTTCTGCTAGAAGGTAAGTGTGCTCCTGTCTAATGACAATTGTAAATACTTTTAAAAATTGCTTTCTGACAATTCACAAATTTCAAGCATTTTTGAATACCACTTTTGAGTAAACTGCAAGTTCAGATCATCTTAGTTAATAATAATTTAAAAAAATTGTGCTCTAATCTACTCCCCTTTTATGCTTTGCCCTCTTAAGTCTGGCAGTGTCTTAAGTGGCCAACACAGAGGGGTATAGAAGTTCTCTCTCAAACCCAGAGATGAGGTTGAAACTCTTCTTTGGATCATGCTGAGAGGAACACAATCATGATACTCCCTTCAGAAAGCTAGTAAATCAGCTTCATTAATAGCTTATAGGTAGGCTTTGATCTGTTATCTGATTATTATGCTATCCAAGCTTTTGTATCCATTTCATGTAAATCTTGATTACTTTTTCAGCTTTGTCAAGTCTGGTGCTTTATGGACATGTGATAAATGCCTTCAGTGAAAAGAGGTCCTTGAAAACTGGTTGATCTCCAGGTATGTAGCGTAAAAGGGTTTATCAGATGTTAGGGGATGGGTTGCCTTCTGTATCTGAAGTTTAATTTATTCCTTACCTGAAAACGAAACAAACAAAAAAAAACAAACCCACCAAAAGCTCAACCTTAGGCCAGTTACCTCTTTTGTGTATGCAGGATGCTGACTGCAAATAAAATGTCTTTTACAGGAAGAAAACCAGCATGCGCAAGGGACTTGAACTGATATTAAACATCTTATGGTTTCAAGGAGCAGCCAGTTTCTGAACTCATACTAGATGGCTCCAGTTGTCACCTGCAATGTATTGTCTTGAAAGTGGAATTGAGACAAACAGTTGCTAAAACTATGTCCCTTCAATGATCATGTTTAAACAGGAACCTCACCTTTTGTTGAAATAGGTTTCTTACAAAAACTCATGTAACTTATGTCTGTGTGGATTAATTGAAATAAAATATGAGAATGCTACCAGAAGCTTGTGTGTTCTGAAGATTTCCTTCTGGGTACTTCCTGTATCTAAATGTTTTTGTGTTTTTATGCAGAAACATTTTCTTACATGCAAACTTGATAAGTTTACCTTTAATTTACAAATTCATTGAAAACACACTCCTTAATATTCATCTTTTATTCTGAATGACTGGTCATGGTTTTCTGAAGTATTTCAGAATGTAAAAACACTGAGATAACTGGGCAACTTCTAAGTTATTTCATTAGGCTGCATTTACATTTTCTCCAACTTAGTGAAAAGATTGTCTCAAACTTCAGAAGAACAATTGTCCTTAGCAAGCATCCCATCACCTGTCTATTTCAAATAAACAAATGAAAATTTTGCAATATTTCATGTAAAAAATGACTGCATAGATCTTCTGAGAGAAAGATCAATATTGTGTGAAGGAAAGCTTGTATGCGTTTTTCATTTGCTTATGTTTAAGCAAATACTAAACACTTTTTCCCCAAGGGTAGGAATTTAAGTGATTTATGTGCATCCTGTTACTGGCCTTAGAAAGTAGAAGCAAGGACATAATATAGAAGTAGCTGACAGGCACTCCCCACTGCCTACACAGGGAAGTGTGTTTTTAGGGCCAAATTCTTACATACACTCTGTTAGACTCAACCCCAGTCTGGCTAGGAAGTCTTCTGGTTGTTGTCTCTGCTTAAATACAAAGTGGTGTCTTTTGTGGTCTTGTATTTGTAGCCTGCTAGGCTTATGTAAGTCTTGTCCTCTGGACTTGTGTTTTATTAAAAGATGAAACTGAATTTGAAGGGTATACAAAAGTACTTTCTCTTTATATTAAACCTGTCTGACAACTGTCTGGTTCCTGTTATGAGACAGAATGAATCATTTTCCTGCAAGCCTTGTCAGTCATTTTATAGACATTTGTCCTCTGCAGTTATGCTCAAGGAATAAGCTTTAGTCTACTCAGTCTTGCCTTATGTGAGAATGGTTTCATATCTGGTCCATGCTGCCCTGTCCAGGTTTTCTAAATCTTGCTTCTTTCATGTTCTGTACTAATTGGTGGTATTTGACATAGGCTTCTAAATGTTCTGTCCTGTTTTCATTAACTAGCAAGCTTGTTTACATTTGGTAGCTTAGGGTAATATTTTCAGTGAGCTGTCTACATTTCCAGAACTTTCTGAAGGGAGTGGAAGCTATCTTGGAATTACAGTTGGAGTTTTCCTTTCCAGACTCATTAGCCAGGCAACAAATAGTGTTAAAATCCATGTGTGGCTGTGTCCATGAGGATCTTGTCAGAATCTAAGATCTTTTGGAGTCTGCAGCTGTGGTTAGTTTTGAGTATTCTGTTGGGTTTCTTTTTTTTCATGTCAGTCGATGCTAAAACGAGAACTTTGAAATCTTTTCACTTAAGAAAACTGTTCCTCTCCTTTCTGAATTAATGGTCTCAGTGTACAGTAGGAGTCCCTTCTCTTTCATGTTATCTATCATGCCCTTTGACTCATGTTCTGTGCTTAGGTGCTTACTCCTGAGACTTACTTAGGTTTTTTTTTGAGGCATTGCTATTCAACTTCATGCTGTGCAATTGGTGATAAAAAGTACCATTAAATTCTAATGACTTGGTCTTTATTCACAAGTTTGTTCTAAAATGTTCCAGTCAGGCCCTTGTTCATTCATCCCTGGTTTTTAAAAACTTTGGGAAAATAATCTCTATCACAGACAAATCATTCATTTGACTTTTGTGGTGCAGCCGTCAAAGACTCCTTTCATACTTGTTCATTTCTTGGGCTTGCAAATTCTTTTGCAGACTGCCTGCTTGTGATCTGTTTGAAGAGATTGTTAATTCCCGTATTGTTCCTTAAACACTGCTGCTGCTTCAGTATCATACAGATTTAAACTGAGTTTTTCAGTTTTACTTCTTGTTTTGACATGACTTACAGTTACTGAAAGGTACAGTTTCACATTCCTGATTTAAAAGTGCTATTATTTTGTGTGTTTTGATTTGCCCATCACAGTGATTAAAACTTGTATTTTAAGCAACATTCTATCTGTTTAGCCATACTGCACCATTTTTAACTGGTATTTTAAAGTAGTTTCATTATTGGCTCCTTTTTTTCTTTTCCTAAAGGGAGAAAGATGCCTTAAATTTCAAAGAAGTTCAATATAGAAATGTTTTAGGATGTACTGCTTTCAACTACTGACAGCTGAAGTTTCATTTCCTATCAATCTTGCTGTTGCAGAAGGTGAGCTTTTTCACGTTAATGGCAGCCTGTTATACAACTTAGTGCAGTGTTAGTAAAGTCCTTATTTGCTGTAGCTATTAATGAAGTACCCACATGCCACTAAGTGATAATGTTGCATGTCCACTCTGCTGTTCTGTCTTTCTGAAATACCTGGTCAGAAAGACTGATAGATATAATTGACTCTTAAACATGGTTGTTATCCTGATTTTACACAGCATAAATGGATTCAGTTTGCTGGTTTTAGTACATCCGGAGAGAGCAAGAATTAAAGTATACTTGAGACATCATCCATGGTGAGTGCTTAAAATTTTGCCTACCTCATTCTTAGGCAATCTTAAGGCAATAATTAAAAAATGTGAAGATTTTTTTTTTTCAGTAGAAGTAGTTTAATAAAAAATCAAATTTAGAGTTTGTATTTTAGAAGTATCCAATAGCTTCATGGGTTTATAAGGCTCATGACTTTTACATTTGACTGTTACCACTCAGTTGAGGCCATTATTCCATGCTAAAACTCATTTTGAGGAAACTGGTTGGTATAACATGTCACTTGAGAGCACTCTGTTGTGTGACTTCTTGTGAGTAGTTATACTAAGAAATCTCTTGCCAATTAACTTTGACTTGTTTCTATTCATCCTTAGGCTTTTTGGAATATAAATATGTTGGTTTCAGGGATCATTCACCTAATTAAATTTATGATATATCATGTTAAAGTAGTGAAGCAAAACAAAGGGATTAGTATCAGTCTAGGAACATGAAGTAAGTCTAAATGTCTTGATAAATCTGGTAACTTTATTGTTGTATATGAGCTCATTCACCCTGACCACCACCTTGTGGGACTGTGTACTTGGGGCTGTGCAGTTTGCTAAGGGATACCTGGTTTGTGTGAATCCTATCCTCTAAATGAAGTTATAACATTGAAATTTTTCCTTTTATTACTCATTGGAAAAGTGAAGACTAGTAGAAGAAAAAAAGCCAAGTTTGCTGGAGAACAGTCAAGGGCTAACTAATTGGCTTACACCATTTTAGAATCATAGAATAGTTAGGGTTGGAAAGGACCTTAAGATCAAGTTCCAACCCCCCTGCCATGGGCGGGGACCCCTCACACTAAACCATATCACTCAAGGCCTCGTCCAACCTGGTCTTGAACACTGCCAGGGATGGAGCATTCACAGTCTCCCTGGACAACCTATTCCAGTGCCTCACCACCCTCACAGGAAAGAATTTCCTCCTTATATCCAATCTAAACTTCCCTGTTTAAGTTTTAACCCATTACCCCTTGTCCTGTCACTACAGTCCCTAATGAAGAGTCCCTCCCCAGCATCCCTATAGGCCGCCTTCAGATACTGGAAGGCTGCTATGAGGTCTCCACGCAGCCTTCTCTTCTCCAGGCTGAACAGCCCCAATTTTCTCAGCCTAGTCTTGTTAGAGGCTAAATAATATAAGCAAAATTCTGTCATTTTATAAATTTTTGTATGTATGGTTTCTCAATAGGGATTATAGGAGAGTTTGGGGAGAAATAAAGATGGAGGAAAGCTATAATGTGGCTTTTAATCTGTACATCTGTGTTTATCTTGACTATTGATTGCACATGTAGGAATGCTGCTTTGGCTTTTCATTAACTGAATCTGCAGGAAGGTTAGATTTGTTCAGCAAGACTGAAGATTGTCACAGAAGGTGGAATATTTTCATACCTATGTATGCATTCTGTGTTTAGCACGCAGTTGAAAAGCATGATATTTCCTACTTCCTTTTAGTAATTTGTTGCAACTGTTAAGACTCAATGATCAAATGCAGGTAGAAAAGCTGTAGAATGAAATGTGCTTGAGTAACGTGTGCTGAGCCCTGGACTATGGTTTTCTGTACGCAAGGCTACATGCAAGGGTCTGGCAAGACACAAGAATTCTTATTCTTCCCTTTTTTTTTAATTGAGAACAGTTGTTGGGGGACAACTTTTAAAACCTAGCATTCCTCAAGAATTTCAGTTCGTATGTGCTTGGCAATATCAGAATTTGTGGGATGACTTTTACTTAGCACATAGGTTTGTGATCTGCAGGGCTTGTACTGCTTTGTTTTTAAGAATCTAAAGTTTGGATGCAGGTATTAATGTTAGAGTTAGGTTTATGACTCTATGTGGCCTTACATTAATATATTGTACGTACTGATCTTCAGTGGAAAACTTGGAAGCAATACCCAAGTAATAACGGCTACTTGTCCTAACTATTCAAGTTGATGGTTAGTTGCCTGTATCTTCCTTATGTTTCCTCATGCTTTCACATAATGTTACAGTCATATCCAAGATTTCCCATTTTATGCAAGGAACAAAATAGCAGTAGGGTGAGAATATAGGCTGAATGCACACAGAGAAACAGTGATTGTGCATCCCAGGTATTCTGGTTTAGATTAATGCAGGCAGGCATTTCTTACAAAAGTGCAGCTTATGAGATGGAAACCCCCTCTTCTTATGGTCATCAGCTATCAGATCTATATGTAACATGTTTTCTTAAAGCTTTCTGCATTTGGTTTCTGATGCAACTCACACTGGATTTTTCCACACATCAATACTTTTGCTTATCTAAATAAAGGTGAAAGCTGCATGACCTTCACTGACATTCGTTGGTGCAAAAGAGGACCTTTTCTGTTCAGTGAACTTTGATGTAAAGATGAGTTTTCCTCCTATGCTTTGATATTTAATTTCTACAGCTTTGACTCAGTGCATAGATGCTGAATGCTTTAAGACTGAAAACACTCAATCTTTCAGATTGAAAAAGGTATAGAGA